TGTATAAGATTCCCTTTAGACTGCCTCTGAATGCACACATATCCTTAGTTTACCTCATTACTTCTGCTAACTGTGGTCCAAGGTCACAATGTTCTTTAATTGCAAAAGGTCGTGGACAAGTGGGCTGCCACCACTGACCATGCTTTTTTACAACCTCTACCTTTCTTCTTCCCCTGAAAACGGGTATCTACACCAATTTGCTTACTGAGGGTCAAACAAGGTAGTGGTAATAAAGGCACTGTCATTTACTGGTGAACACCCTCCTGCCTGCTTCCTATTTCATTGGATGTGTGCTAGTTTAGGTTGGTTCCTGTCTTTTACTCGCAGTTTTGATTTTTAACTTTCAATAACTCTGTAGTGAACATCCTTATATATCCATTCATTTACATTTGTTAAATTGCTTCCCTTAAACCATGTTCTTTAAAGTAGAATTCATGGATCAAAATTTGGGTAAACCTTTAAAGCTGCTCATACTTATTGCTAGAATGAATAAAACAGTTAAGCACAACATAACCCTGCAGGGATTAATCTTTGTGCTAATTGCATTTTAGTTATGCAATCTTTAATAAATATCAAATTGTCTATGATATATGTGGGCTATACATAAGGAAATAATTTATTAGCCAAATCAGGACCTTTGTCAAACCTTTGATGGAAAAAAGGAATGCTATTATAATGGCATGTGTAAGCCAAGACCTGGCTAGGAAAAACTCAGCCTATGATCTTCCTATTATTGAAGCGTAATAATTAAAAAAACATGCACCCACCTCACAATTATAAAACTAGACCATTATCTCTGCATTCTACTGAGTGTTTCTTCCTTGTTCCCTCCCTTAGTCTTGCTCTGAGAGATAATAACCTTCTCCTCAATTTTGTATTCATCATTATCTAAATTAAAAAAACAACTATTCAATGAAACTTATATATGTGTCCCTAGACTCTTTATTGTATAGCTTTGCCTATTTCTGTGCTTCATGGAAATAATAACATTCTGTTTGTCATCTTTTGCAACTGATTAAGGTAGTGAATGACTTAGTCATAATAGTTTATCCTTTTATAAATATACATCACTGGATTTGGTTTGCTAATTTTTTGAAGGATTTTGGTCTATATGTTCTTGAGTGAGGTTGGTCTATACTTCTACTTTCTCACTCTCTTTTCACCTGGTTTTGATAAAAAGGTTATACTAGCCTCAAAAAATGAGTCAGAGCACACTCATTTTTTACTATTATCGAACTAGTTTGTTCATATTCTAATTTTCTAGTCCTTCCAGTTTCTAAATTTTGCATAAAATTCTGTAAAGAAGTTTGGACTGATACTTTCTTTGTGGCAAGATTTTTAATGATTTGACTAAGCTTTTTGAAAGGTATTAGCACCCTTCTGTCTTCCGATTTTTTCAAGTCTGTTTCAGTAAGTTATATTTTTCTGAGGTTGTCTCCATGTCACTAATTTTCAAATTTGTTGAAACAAGATTGTTAATAATGCCATCATTGCTACCTTTTCTGTACTCGTGGCCCCTTTTTATTTTTGATTATTTATTTTTATCATTCCTCTTTTTCCCTTAACCCATTCAATGAAAAGTTTGTCATATTCATTTTTTGAAGATAAATTTTTAAGATGTACTGATCCTCCCTATCATATCTTTGCTTTCTGGTTTAATCTGGTTTTTTCCCCCAAATTCTCAAACTGGTTGCTTATTCCTTTTTCAGATGTTCTTTTCTAAGTATTTACAGCTATACATTTCCTTATAATAATTACTTAACTTGCGTTTTACAGAATTGGATATGCAATATTTTTGTTATAATTTAGTTCCAGTTATTTTTAATTTTCACTATAATTTTTTCTTTGATCTGTGCATCATATGGAAATGTTTTTAAATTTCCAAACCTACAAAAATTTACCCATGTATTTTTGTTACTGTCATTTCATGCAGTTGCACTGTGGTAAAAAAAAAAATGAGGTCTGTATGTCAACTCTTCTTTAAAATTCTTGAAACTTATATCATAGCTCAGTATGTGGCCATTTTGTGGGGGGGTACAAGTCGCATGTACTTTTTTTTTTTCAGTTGAGTTCTCACTTTGTGGCCCAGGCTGCCTGGAATGCCATGGCACAATCACTGTATCCTTGACTTCCGGAACTCAGGAGATCCTTCCTGCCTCAGCCTCCCAAGTAGCTGGGACTGCAGACATGCACCTCAATGCCTGGTTAATTTCTGTGTGTATATATATATATATTTTTTTAATTATTTATTTTATTTATTTTTTATTTTTTGTAAAAACAACGTCTCATTATGTTGCCCAGGTTGGTCTCAAACTCCTAGACTGAAGCAATCCTCCCACCTCAGCCTCCCAAAGTGCTGGGATTACAAGTCTGAATTACCATCCCCAGTCAAGAATGACTATTTTCTAACTATAGGGTGCAGAGTTCTATGTAAGGCCAATAAACTAGTGCTCACAGCACTGAAGGGGGCCCTGCACTGGAGTGAGAAACAGAATCTTAGAGCTGCCAGAGAGGAACTCATTCTCTTCTGATTGACTGTGCAGTGACCTCCCCAGTCCAGGTGACCCTCCACAACATTCCTTCCTGGTGGGCTGGAAGCTGGGCTGGCTGGGCCTGAGTATGAGCTGAGAAAGTGAATGGACTCTTCCACTGGAGCCTGTGTTGTGTCAGGCCCTAGGCCAGATGCTCTGGGCCCTACCCTCACAGTCTCCCCATCTATTGGGAGCTCTCCCACATGTGACAGGAGCAGCCTCTGGGTCAGAACTGGTGCTCACTGCAAGTACATGGGATAGGGCTGGGAGTATCAAACTGCACTGAGAAGACAAATGAACCATCACACAGAGGTGTGGCAACTGTGTCTCTCAAGTCACCTTGTGAGAGTCTTGTTTATGACGCATTTTGAGCCTCTATATGTCTAAGCAGGTAGCAAACCCTGCATTTTTCAGACTTTGAAGATTGTGGCAGAGTGAACAGCAGAAATGGCTGCAGATACTTTCCCTGTTGAATGTCTATAGGACCGTTCCAGCCCATGGAGGAAGTTTTGAGAGCTGTTCTGAGGCAGAAGTTCACATTGGTGTTTGCATTAAATCATCCCCTACAAAACATTTTAAAACTAGCTACCAGATTTTGAAAATGTTAGTGATTTCATATAAAAATGGAATTGCTTGGTACATCTGGAAGCCCTGGACCTGGTCTGAATGCAGGTCTCTTAGTGGTCCCTAGTCACTGTCTACAGATTGTTGTGTCTGCACTGGCATTTTCTTGCAATGCAATTAGAGGCAAGTGGAATCTTTCTGCTATAAATGTTTCCATTAACTGGGGACAATTTTTAGAACTCTACATATTTCAGTAGAAATGACAGTGTGTTTTTCGGTGCAAGTGAAGATTGATCTTAATTTCATGAAATGAATGAAATAAAGCATGTCTAGAGATAAGATGAAAACTTAGGTCCACAAATGAAGGAAACTACTTTTCTGGTGACCAGCTTTCTCCACCTATGTCCACTATTTACCTGAGACTCAGAAAGAGCCACAGTGGCAAGTGCGCATCTGTGGCCACCAGGGCAATCTGGCTACCTCTGACTGGACAGCTAGACCTTGGCAGTGGCAGTGCCTGTGACAGAGGGCACAAGCAATGTGAGGGTCAGGGGTTACCAGTCGAGGGCCTGGGTGCAGGGTCCAGCTCTCACACTCACCACTGAGAGGGCACCACCCACCTCCCAGGTTTAGTTTCCTTATCTGTTAAAGAGCAATCATTGTGAATAATTAATTCTTTGTGTCATAAAGGAGGCCAAATTAAGTGTCACATCCTAAGAGTGCACTGGGCACAGTAGGAAGTACTCAGGGAGTTTGTTGCTATTGTTAGGGATTTCACTGAGAGAGCCCAAGAGTGAAAAAAAAGCTCAGTTTCTGCCAGTTCAGCTGGGTGGGAAACTCAAGCCTTGTCATTACGTTGACTTATATTTTTAAAAGTGACATTTCTTGCACACAAGTTGGTGGCTTGACAGTGAAGCACTGTGATAGTATGCAGGCATAAAGGAGAAGTATAGGAGCATGTGGTTCCCAGTCTGCTGGCTGAGCCTGTGTTGATGACCGAGATTTCTCCAGAGTCAGGAGCTTGACCTGGGATCTGTGAACTTGAAAAAAGTTATATCTCTGTTCTCTAACCTATAATGGAAACTTAGCATTTCCTTCCAACAGGAGTACAACAAGCAAATCACAGTGACATTACCACATGGGTGACCTTATTCCTAGTAGGAATCAAGAGTATTCTATCCACATTCCAACAGTTACAGATATCTCTAAATATTGTTTACATTTATCACCACGTCGGGATCGTGGTAGCTATTTCATCTGCCACTAGATCTTGATATTTATTGTTTGGGTATCACAAGTTAAAAAATATTTTGATAACTATGTTTCAACACTCTTGATTTATTTTATAATCCTTACATGCTTTATTTTGTGCATTTAAAAATGTTATTCTGAGAAGAGAATGGCAGACTTCTCCAGACTCAGAGAGGTACAAGGTACAAAAACAGTGACCGGGCCAAGCTATGGCCTGGAGAGGTACTTCCTGTTCCTGCCCCAAGAGAGGGGGTGACTGCAAGGATTGGACATAAGGGCAGAACACTTTTGCCTATATCACCCTCTGAGACTTAACAATGTGGTCTGTGGGGCAAAACATCATACCTAATCATGCTTTGGTTCCTGCACTCTGTGGGGAGGATTACCTGAGAGAATATTGGATGCCATATCCCCGCATGTACAGTGAACCCTCATTATAGACCAGCTTCCTTGCATGCCTGGCAGGGGCCAGGATAACAGGAGCTTCCTTCGGTCTTGTCCTCAGAAAGGGCTGAGAGGAACTGAGCAGCATCCTGGCTGTGGCGGTGGCTTCCTTCCCCATCAGTCACGTGGGGCTTGGCTCCTTTCCCTCGAGACTTGGGTCACACGGCTCACTGTGCCTGCCCTACAAGGAGCCAGGAGCAGAGTGCCAGCATGGGCTCAGGGGTCAGCATACTGAAAGTCCTCCTCTTCCTCCTAGGTAAGTGAGGAGTGCGGGGCAGACTTACTCTACGCTGGCCTGGGGGGCCCCAGTGAGCAGGAAACTAGAGGAGCATTAGCCCATTGGGACTTGATAAAGCCTAGGTATGTTCCTTTAGACAGATGGCTTCTCTCACTTTAACCTGGCAGTGAGTAATGTTCTTGTGTGTTTCATTTCAACTGCGATTTACAAATACTTCTGAGCTAAGGGAGAATAGGAAGGGTGATGTAGCACAAAGAGCTTCAGACGTGGGATCTAGAAAAACCGGTGTTTAAACTGTGACTCCATTGCTGATAAACTAGAACACACTTCTGAAACCTTCTAAGTTTCTGAGCCAATGAGATGGGAAATAATGTTTACTTTTGGGGATTGTGAGAGAAGTTACATTTAATTAAGTCAAATCAAAGAATGAGAAAATGTAGTTGTGTATATGTTGCTGTAGAATTAACATTGAATCAGTATTATTGTGCAGTGAAGTGGGCTCTTTACTACGCAGATATTTTTAAAAAATCATCTTTATTGTGTTCATTGAAAGAAAGAAGGGAAAATCGTAGAGAATGATAGAAAAATAGGGCCATATAGAGAGGGAGAAATATAAAGTCAGAGAAGCAGACAGAGAAGAAACTCAGAGACATAGAAACTGGCATAAAGAGATGGTTTGAAATATGCGTAGATAGAGACAGAGAGGGACATGCAGTTTTGCAAAGTCCCCTTTGACATCAACTGTTATTTCTTAAAAAGGCAACAGACGTCCCTCATATATACAAAGATGCTCTTTCCCAGGACTTGCGATGGGCCGAGGCTCAAAGGCAAGCAGTTTGTCTCCAGATAAAATTTTGTCTCCCGGGCAGTAGGCTGTATTCTGGACAAGGGCAAAGTTAGGCCTAAGGGGAGGACTCTATCTGAAACCTGCACTAAGCAGAGGACAGCAAAGACTTTGGTTTCTGGGAATTAGCATATCGAACAAATAGACAACCGCAGCATTTGTCAGTTTACACATGGAAATGGGCCCCAGGCAGGGGGGATGGCAGGGACCAGCAAGCAGGAATTAGAGCATTCAGGGCAGCTAAACTGTAGTGTACCTGCCCAGGGAAGTGGTAGATGGTAAGAGAGATTCTAACCCTTGTTTCTGCTTTTGACCTATCTGCACAAACAAACCAATCTGTTGTGGTGGAAAAAAGAAGTTAAACTTAAAAAACTCAATGAAAAATGTGCAAATTATATAAACAAGTAGTTCATTGAAGAATTACAGACAATAAACCTTTAAAATGTTCAGGTTTTAATAATAAAATAAATAACAACACCTAACATTTTTGAGTGTTTTTGAGGAGATGGGAACTCTGCTAAACTCTTTACATTAGCTCATTCCATCTCCAGGACAGCTCTATGCAATATGATTTTGATGACCTGCAGTGCTTGTTAGTGCTTTCATGTACTATTAGTAGAATACAGGGTGGTGGTTAGGAGAGTGTATCTAGCACTAGGCTCCCTGAATGTCAATCCTGGCTCTGTCCAGAGAACTTGGGTGAATTATTTATCTTCTCTATGCTCAGTTTTCTCATCTGTAAATTGGAGATAGTGATTGTACTTACCTTACAGGGCTGATGAGAGACTTGAACCTGTTAACACATTTAAAGAACTTAGCATGATATCTGGCATGTGGTGAGCACTCACTACCAGATATTAGGGGACTAACTGATTCAATCTTCCCCAAAGGCAATCTGGCAATATGTAGGGAAATGTAAGCTATTCACAACCTTTTACCCAGAAGTTCCACCTCAAGGAATTTATCCTAATGAAATAATAGGATAAATATTTAATAGGTTATTATTCAGCATTGTTGAAGCCATAGTGAAAACCAGAAACAAGTGACTATCAGGAGGAATCTGGCTAAATCAATTATGGTTTAATGTTTCCAACAAAATTCAATATGTTTTTGACAGAAATGCCTTTCTATGAACTGACAAGGACAGAATAGAGATGATGAAGTGATTTTGTAGAGTTAGAGTTATATAATTATATTTTGCATATGTTCGCTTATCTATTCAAAAATTGACTGGGAGGAAATATTTAAATGGTTCCTATTTTTAAGAACTATGAGGCATCTTAATTTATCTGTATTGGATTTTTTAATAATGATCATATCTATAAGATTAGTATATATGATATGGTTATATATGTATATAAAATCTTTATTTCAATAAATGAATTTCTTTGAACAAGAAGTAACATGACAGCCTTGTGGGATGTGGGGGCTATCTTTGTCCAGCCCCTCTGTGACGTCCTGTTCCCATGTGTGAGGAGCTGACTGGTGGCCTTGGGGTGAGAAGTCAGGCCAACATTTCCCAAACACAAAACTTTTTGAAAAAAGTTTTTGCATATTCTAAAAATATTTTTTAAAAATTGAGAAAAATGGAATAAGACACTTGTGGAGTCAATGTCCTGAATTTATGAATATTAACATTTTGTCATTGTTGTCTTGTTTTTAGAAACAATATTTAAAGGTAGGTAGCTAAATCAGCATCTCATCCGGCATTAGAGGTGGAGTAAGCGTCCTTTGGCTCTCTCCCTCTGTTTTGTATTCCTCCCTCCCTCTCTAGGGAGAACAGCACCCTAGGTTTGGCTCTGATTCCTTCCTGGGTTGCTTTGTAGCTATTAAAAGCTTTATAGGAATCCACCATCGTGTAGTTAACATATTGCATTACCTACCCATTCTGATAATATGGATCAAATGCATTCATTTCAACCACTCTATAAACTTCTGTGGAAATACTGAGCCATTTATTTATCCATTCCTGGACTGATTGGCAGAATTTAGGTTGTTTCTAACTTTCTGCCTAATGGCCCATGCTTTAAAGAGCTTTCTGTCTTATTTCCTAGAACTCACACGCAGCTATTTTTTTAGCACATACCATTGGAAGGGGGATTGCCATGTCAATTCTTCTTTTATTGAATTTTGCCAAATTGCTCTCTACCAGGGTTGTACAGGCATATTGGTTTCCCCGTATACTCAGTAATACTTGATATTGTCAGACTTCTCAATTTTTGATGGTTGGAAATATGTAAAATAGTATCTCAAAGTTTTTAGTTTGTGAGTTCCTAATTACCACAGAGAATAATCATTTTCCTTATATTTATCAGTCAGTTCTTTCTGTAAATTTCCCATTTTTATATACCTTTATTTCAAGTTGCATTTGATTATTGATCTCGTTTTTTCTGGATATTAATAATTTGTCTGTTTCATGCGCTGCAAATATCTTTCAGTATGTTGCTTATCTTTTATCTTTGTGGCATCTTTTGTCATGCAGAAGTCTCTCAATCTGATGTAATCAAATTTATTAGTCTCTTCCTTTTTGTGTGTTTGGTTGTTCTGTCTTGTCTGAGAAATACTTTTTATTTTTATTTTTTACTTTAAAATTGTTGCATTTTTCATGAGTTGGTCTTCAATTTATTTAGATTTTATTTTTGTGTATGGTCTAAAAAAGAATCTAATTTGAATGGTTGCTGAATGGAACATTAGTTGTCCTAATATCATTTACGTAATAACCTTTCCTTTCTTTCTTGCTTTGCAATGGTTCTCTGTTGAAAATATAGTCTATATACAAGGAGGGACTCCCCCTCCAGAAAAACCCAAAATTATCTTTTTGAAAGGCAGTCCCCCTATAGTACAGACTTCCCTTCTAGGTAAGTGTTCTAGGAACCCGTTGGCACAGGTATACCAGCTAGCGTTGTTGTGAGAGGCTGTGTTTGGCTTCAGTTGTGAGAGGCTGCGTTTGGCTTCAGTGAATTTTTTTTTTTAGATTCTTTCAACATGTTTGCACTTTTCACGATGGGTGATTTATGAGTGCCCCTGTCCACATGGCACTGAATGTTCAGTAGTTCTTTGATGAAAAATGGCATGACCCTCCTGATCCATCCTCCCTGTTCACCCAATCTTGTCCAGAGTGACTTTTTTTTGTCTACCTGAATGAAAAAAGTCCTCAAAGGGAGACATTTTGCCGGTGTGGAAGAGGTGAAACAAAAGACAGCAGGAGCACTAAAAGGCATCAAAACTCACGAGTTCAAAAACTGTTTGGAGCAGTGGGGAAAGTATCTCAATAGGTGTATTGTATCAAACGGAGAATACTTTGAAGGTGACTGGAGTTTAAACATGTAAGAACAAATACATCCACAATTTTTAATAAATGATTTCTGGGGGTTTGGGGATCCCCCTCATATTCTACATCTGTTCTGTACCCATTTAATATACATTTGAACTGTTAATGGGCTTACTATTCTGTGGCATTTTTTTTGCATCTGTCTCTGTTTGAATCATGTCACAGTTTTACTTACTATAGCTTCTCAGTCTTGATAACTTGTAGGTAAGATCACTCCTTGTGTCTGGTGTTATTGTTTGAACCATCTTAGCTCTTAGTTCACTTCCTCTTGCATGTAAAGCTTCTTCCTCAAAAGATTGATGAAATTGCACTTTCTGAGAGCCAACCTGGGTGTGAGCTCCTCTCAGCACTCCCATGGGGCCTGGGTTCATTTCTCAGCCCCAAATGTAGATGCTCTTATTATAGTCAAGTTCATTTTTACAGATGAAGAAACTGAGCCACAGAGACATTAAAGTAGTGGATAAATGGTTGAGCTGGGATTCAGACTGAAGCACTTTGATGCCCAAATATGAATTTTTAGCTTTAACATCAAACTGCGTTTTAGTTGAGAATAGAAAGGACGTCATGAAAAGACTGATGACTTTTTAAAACTGTTTTTTCAATTTTTTATTTCAAAATAATTTCAAACTTTAAGAAAACTTGTAAGAACAAGAATAGTACAAAGAACACTCATATGATTTGTCTATTTTTAATAATTTACCTTATTTTATTTATCATAGGTTTTTTTTCTCTCCCCCCATAAATATATTCAATTGATTTTTGGCAATGGAGAAAATCGGTTCATATATGTATATATAGACACACACATATAGTCCTGTATTTTTACGAATCACTTAAGGGCAA